ATCTGTATGCAGCTACTTCAAGTGTCTCATCTCACCTGAGTTTCCTCCCCAGTGTGCCGCTGCCCGTCGACTTCCATCATGCTCCAGAAAGTCCTTGCAGCTGCTCAGCTCAGTCATGAAAGCTGTGCGTTGGCCTTCGTTGACCTCTGGAGGTTCACTGCAGATCAGCTGCATCCTGATGGGGGGCAGGTAGGTGAGTCTGCAGGAGGAGCTGACAGGACAGATCATACAGTCAATATAATGAGCATTACTTACAGGACAGTGGTATTGTAGTAATATTTTACATTTCAGATCTGGTTGTTTGTCAGGAGCAGCCTCATGTTTGATGTTAACTGGTTTTCATAACTACTGCTAACACTGTAGTAAGTGGAAGGAGCTGTTCTGGTTCAGAACATAAACAATCCGATAATCAATTAATTACTGAGGAGTATTTTCTGAATAAATTAATCACAGAAAATGCTTCAGATAATGATGACTTACTAGAGAGCAGACTGGAATATATCATTATAATTGTTTATTTATTTTTGAATCTATTACTTACAGCTTTTGTGTGCACTAAAATAAACCATGCTCGCACAAAAGTAATAGGATACTGTATTTTTGCTGAGGAATTTTACTGTTGGTTCCTTAATAACAGACCAAATAGCACATTAAGACTAGCTAATGACAGTGATATTTAAATGGTTCTTTACATCATCACTACTGTGTAGTATGGCCTTGAAAGAAGAAAATCATGTTTTTGTGACAAAAACATATAATTAAGGGCACAATTTGTGATGAAAATTGAAACAAACCAAAGAAAAAAATGTGATAGTGCCATAGATTGCTCGCTTTCATACACGTATGAATGTTTTCTTCAGACGTTTATGCAAAAATTAGGAAAAGCAGGCCTATTAGACCAACATGCAACTTCAGAAGCACAGAACCTGCTTATTTGCATTATAATACGATTTGTAAATGCAGCTGTCTATCATGGTCCAAAACCTGTGGACTGCACTTTAAAGGAATTTGTGTCTTTGCACACTTCAGCATATTAGCTATCAAATCGGATGTTTCTACTGCTGATTATTAAACATATAAATTCAAGCCTAGAGAAGATATTCTAAATGGAAAGTTGGTTTATTTTCCAGCCATTTTCTGCGGCCTTCTAAATATCAAAATAAGTGGAAGTATAATTAATGATCACAAAATAAAATCTTGATGCACACGTACAAATTCATGTGTCCCTTTATTGTTGTGGATAGTTCAGTTATTCCAAATCAGTGCTGACTTTGGTTTTTATCATTAAACCATCACTTGATAAAAGTAAATCAACATGTTTCGTCAACTGTCATGCATTACCTTTGTCAAGTCCATGGTTTTGCAAGTCAAAATCTGAAACTTTGCATTTCGAGGCCTAAAAAAAAATCAAAATGCATTGTTAATCAGCTAATGAGCAATAAAATGGCAGTTCTGACTCCATTTCTTAAAATATTCAGTGCCCCAAACTGTACAAATGTCCACAGTCTCATGCTTTTAAAAAGGTTTACATATCACCTGGCTACAGTGAAGTCTCACAGCTTTACTCTCAACAACAAAACCAGGAAAAACAACAGATTGGACGAGAAGAAGAAATTCATGTAGCCAAATCAAGTGTTGTTATTCTACTTGTATTTCCAAATACAGACTTGTAATTCATCAATTCTTCTTGTTCCTGAACTTCTATCTATTTCCACAAAACACAGAAATATGATCATAAGGTAAACAAAAGAACAGTAATTGCTATATATCATTTTAAATAATTTATTTTTAGAAATCAGTTCATGAGAAGCAAATGAACTTCAAATGTCACACACACAGAGAAATAAACCAACTTTGGAAACACAAGTGACATTTTATATATTTTACAAGCTAAATTTCCATTTCTCTTTTCTCTCTGTTGCTCTATTTCCAAATCCTATGAGTTTTTTTTTTTTTTTTTTACTCTCTGTTGCTCTATTTCCAAATCCTATGAGTTTTTTTTTTTTTTTTTTAAAGCAACAGCATTCATTATCATATACCAGTAGACTAAAAACCAAAACCAACGGTAGTTTCTGTAGAGGAATTACATAAATTCTTCCTTGTGCATTTACAGTTTGGTGCTCTGGATAATGTCAACATTTTGCCAACTCTTGTCATCTTGTCTGGTTGTTTTGTGAATAACCAGATTCCTGCAGGAGAGGCTGGGATTGGGTGAATAAAAAGGCGAGCAGAGACTCCAAAGTGACACCGAGACATACCTGAGACAATGTGATAGAAAGTAGGGTGTAAAAGAAACTCTGACTGCTGAAGCTTAAGCAAAGCTCACTGCAGAATATCATCCAATCTCTGGACATTAATATAAAGCAGATCACCGTGCAGCTGGAGTTGGACGAGGTGAAGGATTGGAAACCGGAGAAGCAGCGCCAGAGCTTATAATAACATCACCATCTCTGACATCTTCCCAAGAGCAGACACTGGGAAGCTGGAAGAGAGACTGAGAGGTGAGAAAGGAGAAAATGCCAGACGGTTTGATGTCCTCCATTAGAAGAAGCGGCTGTTGATGAGCTGCAGGATGAAGGTGAGATGATGCAGAGGAAGGACAGGACAGGTAAACCATGCAGAAGAAGAAATCTGAAGGAAGACAGTAAGAGATGATGAAAACAGAATGAAAAATTATACTAGTTATAAAAGTCAAGCTCTGCAGAAGTTAAGCAAACCTGGAGCCAAAATCCTACATCTTCATCTGTCAGGGAAAGTTTAGTTTGGAGAAGAAATACTGTGGGAAAGAAGAAAAGTGATATGAAATTAGAGTGAAAGTGGTTAAGTAATGATTCGAAGATATTTGCAGTAGAAGTAAACTTTCTGCCTCAGACTACACAGCACTGTAATAACACTCATGACCACATGAGGGCAGTATCAGAACTCTAATGGCAAACGTCATCCTCAATGTTGAGGGATTTTTTTTTCTCATAATACTCCAGAAATAAAAAGTGACATGAGAATTTTTTTTAGTGACTGATTGAAAAAAAGAAAAGACGGATAGATAGATAAATAAAGGGAAGTTGGATACAGAACGTATGTTAGATGTTGTAAAATGGAAAAGCTTCTTTTAAAAATCAGAATCAGAATCAGAATCAGAATCAGTTTTATTGCCAAGTAATTTTTACATCACCAGGAATTTGACTTGGTCCATTGGTGCAAAGAAGCAGAAAACAGATACCAAAATAAAATAGAATATTAACAATACCAAAAAAAAGGTAAATAATGTTTTTTTTGTTTTTATTGTGGCAGAGGGCAAAATTAACAGGAATTTAATCAACTATTTTCTGTCGAATAAGGTTTCTTTTGCTAAATAGCGATTACTGTTATAAAGTAATGTCTGTAGTGGGTCACTTTTTAAATTGGCTCTCTTCAGTTTGTTTCTGTGTGATCCTAAAACTCATTTCACAAAAGCAGCACACAGAGAAATTAGAGACAATATTTGTGTTTGCTTGAACTAATATTTCCTTATAATATTCTGCAAATAGAAAAATGATATTAGTTGGTTTGTTTAATGTCTACAAAATATGAGAAAAAGGATAAATTAGTGGGAGTAGGATAAATAAATTATACTTTAAACTGTAAAACAGGAAAAACTTTTTTTAAAAATAGCTTTTTTGTGTGTGCCATAGTAGAAGAAGGCAAATTGCAATTACAATGGATTATAAGCAATAAAAAAGTAATAGAAATATCTACAGTGAGCAGGAATATGCATGTTATTTGCCTGAGAATGAGCAAGATTATAAAGTTGGGATGAATATTTTTCACATGAGACAACCGGTTGATCAGGACAGTTAAGCTCTGCAATGATCATCTTCTCAAGGAACACATAAAAATGTCCTGAAACCAATTCTTATGCAACGGTATTAAAGGATTAAGGGTATTTATTGAAGAAAAAGTTCACATGGGTATGATATCATAAAAATGACTCATAAATAAGCTAATAAAAACAAATTTTTACCTTTAAACTCTAATTTATTTTGTAATGGGCTCTAACTATGTACTAAAATTACTACAATTAAATTCTATACTACTTTTGCTCTTTTTTTAAAAAAAAATTTTTTTGTTAATTTTGTTTTTGAGGATCACAAAATACATGCTGTCAAAGAAAAAGTCACATTTCTAAAGTATTTTAAATGTGTTGTATTTTTATTGTATGGTTGTTTGAAAATACTGAAATCTTGACATTACTTATGTTTTTATAGTTTCTCTGCTTTAAAAAAAAGGAAAAAGTCCTCAGTTCTGTGCTTTGTTATTCTTTATTTTTTTCTTCTGAATATTGTAGTAAAAGGGGGAAGTGTTTGTAGAATTACATCAAGGAGACAATTGAAATAATAATAATAATAATAATAATATTAAATCGAGTCTTAAATTAAAGATAGACAGATAGGATAAAGGCCAAATAGAAGTCAAAATTCATAAAAACAGAATCTGAAAATAATACAAAATGAAGTAATAAACAATACATTGAATAGACAAAAAATATGGAAATGGGTGAATAAATAGCAAAATCAATAAATAAAATGGGTTCTAAGAAAATAAATAATTACATTCAATCTATTAAATCAATCCAAAGCCTGACTAATAGGGTAGGCCATCAGTTTGACTTTAAAAACATCATTATAATTGGTTGACGTTTTGATTTAGTGTCCCATTTTACCAACACCTAGGATCACAATAATAATAATCCTATTTTAAAGAGATCTGCATGAATGTAGCGTCCTCTGGCCTTGTATTTTCTGTTATTACAAAGTGATTTAAGCCAAACAAAACCCCAGAATATGCTGCCACGCTTGCATATAATGTATTTACAGCCGCTATGCTAATAAAGAGGGATATTCCCAGCACTAACCTGCTCCATTCTCCTCTCTCTGCTCTTATCTCCACCTTCTCCCCCCCAGCGGAGAGGAAGAGCAGAGACAAGTGAACAACAAGCCGAGGAAGGAGGGAAGATAGGAAATTACAGAGGTGGGTGTTTTCTCCGTCTTCATTGTGAGAGCTCTCGCCCCGCTGTGGACTGTTTATTTGCTCAGTTTTCAGGTGTTTCTTCGACACGCACCGAGGTGTGTGTGTGTGTGTGCTTTTTTTTTTTTTTTTTTTTTTTGTCTCATCCCAACTCACTTCTTCTCCGAGACCTTCCTTCCTTCCTTCCTTCCTGCGGGTCGAGCTTTGGATTGTATCAGCGCAGCAGCAGCAGCAGGAGCAGCAGCAGGAGCGGCGGCGGCGGCGGTCGGCTAGGCTAGGCCTGAATCCTCATCGCAAACACTTATGGACTTTGAAAAACAAACCTAACAGTCTCCAGAATCGGTAACGACCCGTCTTTTGGTGTTTCGTGCTCGGTACTAGTGGTTGGTAGCAGTTGCGGGCGGAAAGAAGAGCGATTTGTTTTAATTTATGGAACTTGATTTGTTGTGAACGCAGCGTTAGCATGCTAGCAAAGCGCAGCGCAAGCTAGCCTAGCTAGCGTCGGTGTATTGCGTTCGTTAGCTTGATGAATAACTTGTATAGGGAGTGGGGAAAGTTTAAAAAACTTATAAACGTGGTTAAAACTGGTAAATATGAACACAGCTAAATGTATAACTCGTTAACGTTGCAGTTTAGTGCATGAATGGTGTGGCTTTTCTGGCTGGGAGGTGTATAACCATGTAACATTACACGTTTCTCTGTTTGGTGCATTTAAACGTGGAAAAAGCAGGATATTAGCAGGATTTTCCCCTGGTTTTGCCTGAGCAGGGGGGGGGTTATTCAGGACAGGTGAGCGCACACGGAAGTGATCGGCCTCGTACAGACCGCCTGTGGGAGTCAAAGTCCAGTCTCGGTGGCTTATCAGTTTCCTATTATGTGTTACACCTGAAACGCCCACTCTCTGTGGACACTGGGGCAGCACGGGGCTTTCAGGTGACTGTACTGGTGTGATTCGCTTTATTTAATTTTTATTTTGGCACATCGCCTTTTGATTTTTTTTTTTTTTTTTTTTTTTTTTTTGCTCTTTTTTTGTGTGCTGAAAGTCTCCTGTGAAAATTCATTGTTTATTATTCCAGCAGCTGCCTTTTGATGTGGTCTGCCAGGTAGAGGAGGGAGGCAGGATTTATGCTGGTGGTGGAGCAGCCGTGGAGGAAAGGAAGAACCTGTTGTGTGGGTCTGGATGCATGGGGTGTGGTAAGGTGGCAGGCGTGTTTGTTGCTTCATTATTTGGCCCCTTGTGTTGAAGGCTTGCAGCGGAGACACCTTCTCAACTTACAGTTTTGTCAGGGCTGAGCAGAGGCTGGATTTTACTCAGAGCAACCTGGCTGCACTTGTGGAGTAAGCTTGATACCTTCAGATTGTTTCTGTGTGACGTTAAAACTCGTTTCACAACAGCAGCTCATAGACCAGACAGCGTTTGACAGTTTGTCTGAAGCATCTGATTTGTTGATTTTTGGTTGATACCGTCAGCTGATCAGTGCAGGGTGGACATGCCTGGCATATTCCTGTACAAACCCTGCAGGCATGTCTGCTTTGACCTGCTGGAACAGAGATGGAAGAGATTGTGAACAAGTTCGGACAAGCTGTTTGCTCAGAAATGTCCCCTCTGTAAGACGAAGCAAGGAGGGGCAAGAAAAACACCCATGAGATGGACATTTCTGGTGCTGCCTTGAATTTGTTCCTAGCCATGTTGTCTGTGGGGGCTGAAGTCTTGCTGCTCAGCCAGTTGTTTTAACCAGGGCTATCATTTGTGAGCCTCTGTAATGACGGGCTTTCAGAGCGCACCATGGGTGTGTCCCTCTGACACATAGAAGCTGGGGTTTTCTTATATTCGCTCCTCCTCCCTGTCTGTCTGTCTTCTCTCCCTCATTCTCCATTTATCTCCCTTCCGCTCTGTATTTCCAGAAGTCACACCTGCAGTCTGTTTTTATTTGAACCTAGAGCACACGTCAGTTGGCTTTCAGATGCGTGACAATCTGAGCACTGAGTGGACAAAGTGCACAGATTTCTGAAGTGAAACTGACGAATAGTGCCCTCCCACAGCGCTGGCGCCTAATTTCTTGGAAAGGTTTAGCGTCACTTTTATTAAACCTTACTGGAGAAGCTTAACCAACTTTCTTGTGAGGAAGTCGTCACGCTCTGTTTATCGTTCACCAGTAGTAAATCTTTACCAAACAGCTGAACGTTGGTGTTCGGTTTGTTTGTGACCGTTTTTCATGTACAGGTTGAACAGGAGTGTTTGTTTTTCAGGTATTTTATGTAACACTGAATTTCTGATTATTGACGAAAGTAGATGTACTGACTTAATCAAATCTGGCGATGTCATACAGCTGAATATTATCATTTAGTGGCTGTCAGGGCACTCATGATAAGTACATAATGCGTTATTGGTTTTATGACTCACCTTTTCGAGAATATAGTAACTGCGGTTAAATTCTTTATTAATGGGGCTTAATGGCCAAGCCTCTAGAAGTCACTCATCTAGAGGAGAAATTTTCCTATACCTATTCTTTGTTATTAGTACAGATATGATTAGTTACAGAAAAGTAACAAACAAATCTGTTTCCAATTACTTTATTATGTAGGACTGCAAAGAGATGTGAAGATGGGAATTGTTCAATATAATGTTAAGTGAATAAATGGTTTATTACATGTAAACCACAGGTTGTTCACCAATGGAGTTAGGTTTTTTTGAAACAACTTAAAATTGGTTGTAGTTGATATATTGGTGTTTTACAGCCAAGAAGCTGGATGCGTTTCATGTTTTTTTTGCTCAGCTAGAACATACATTTTCTAGCTTATCTGTAATGCTGTATTTACGACTTTATGACCAGTGATACCGTGCTGGGTATCAATATAGTATCCACAGATCTCCTTGCTCCAGGAAGATGATCTATGTATTTAAACTCAGTGGTTCATTTTTGGTTACTTTCTTGCCCTGAGTTGGAGTTCAAATCCCCTCCCTTCAAATGAAGCTGCACGTTTCCTTCCTCACTAAGAATAGTAAGCTGGTGTCGTGTAGATTAGACAGCTGGCCTTGCCGAGGTCCCTGAAAAGTCTGTATGGAGTGTGAGTGAATGTGATTGTAGGTGGGCGTGTGTGAATGTGCGCTCTCTCTGCAGCTACCACACTGTGCACACGCTGAACGCCACATGGGAGGGGTTTTTTTTTTTTTCGGGGGGGGGTTTCATGGTTTCAAGTCAGGATGGTGAAGGCGGCAGTAGTTGGACGTGGGCCAAGGCTAACACACAAAACACACACACAGGCCAAAATCTCTGTGTGACCATTCAAATGAGGCTGAGTCAGCGGAGCCCTTGGCCAAGCCACAACAGCATTTTACCATAGCTTCACCTCAGCTGTGTGTGTGTGTGTGTGTGTGTGTGTGTGCGCCGGCTGGAACTGAATGCATGTCAGCCAGCCACAACCACCAATGACTAAGTCACTGAAATGGCAGTGATAGCATATGATAATGAGGAAATGCAATGCAGCCACAATTCTGGGCACTGGGTGATAGACAAACAAACTGCTAGTGAGTTTTCAGTGTGTACTGAACACAACCAGTGTGTGTACATGCCTGTTGTGTGTTGGCTGGCGGTAGTAAGTGGCTTATCCGTGTAATTCCAGGTCTATCCCATTAGCAGATACGATTTAGCATTGCCGGTAATGGCCTTACAATATAGATTAATGACTAATGCCCGAAGTCTAAGTGGCAAAAGCCATTTAAAACTTTCACAAGGAACTGCACCCTGCCACAAGAATGCTAGTGGTGGGACTTGCATAGCTGTAGAGGTTGTGTGGGTCTGACGGTCTTTTGCACTGAGGCACAAGAGACTGTCTTCTTCTAAACTCTCAGAGAAGCGTTGATGGTTTTGACAGAGCCACAAAGAACATCTCAGACTGTGGTATGTCGACTTATCTGATGTGTGACATTAGCACGTCATCGCTTTTCATGGTCTCCAATGCAAAAGTTGACGGCTGCTACAGGCAACTCGCACGACACAACAAACATTTATTTGTAGCTCGCTCCCAAAGTAAGTTACCGTTTGTTTCTTTTGGGATTTCAGGAGAGAGCTGTTGGTATGTAAATAAGTTTTAATGCACTCTTTACACTGACAGCTTTACATCGGTGCTTCTTATACCCACTTGAGATTGTTCCAAGACGTCTTTCAGTTTGTGAGTGTTATCCACTAAAGAAGCACCGACGCCCCGTCCTGATTGGATGAGTAAAAGTAGCGGTGCCCACTCTCCTTTTCCAGGGTTGGAGAAAAAAAAAACTTTGGTGTCAGAGACAGATGAGAGTAGCTCGGTGAAAGAGTGAAGGGCTCCCTTATTAGGACAGCTTCCAACAGCTGAGACAGGATATGACATGCTAAATCTCACTGTGGAATGTATGACAATGGCGATGCGTGTGTGCTTTTGTGCAACTCATGTGTGCTTCTGTCCACAAATGTTTGTGTGTGTGTGTGTTTTTCCACACAAATGGGGGGAAGAAAAAGAAAAACAGGCAGCATTAACTCTACCAAAAGTAGCCACAGCTCTGTTTGAGTGTTCAAGGATAAAAGCGGTGTCAGCCTCACACACTTGCCACCTTTATTTAGTCTCTGACCCACATACACAAACGCTCGCCCTCACACAGATGTGAGCACACACTCGTGCTGGCATGTGTGTGCGCGCTCAGACTTTTATACAGGAGTCTTTGTTCGCTCGGGCCGTCCTGCGCGCGCGGATGGAGAGCAGATCTGATCTACATGAGTCAGTGAACTTTGAAGTAGAAAATGGTTTTTGCCCTGGTTTGGAGATGAGCCACACTCATGTCATCCCGTTATTAGACAGACACGGCTCAAGTACTCTTCCCCAGATTCCTCATACGTCCCTCACCAGCGTCCCTGCTTGAAGGGTGAAAGTCTGCGAAAAAGTACTTTGTCATTCTCCTAATTTAGGGCTGGAAGGACATTTACTTTCTCGCCATGCTTTCTGTAATTTAGACTTAGGTCATCTGTGGCATGTGTTAGGTTGCATTTCCTTCCAGAAGTCCAGGTTGATGATTTAAAAACCGACTTTCCCACTGCTTTCCTTTTCAGTGACTCCTCGTAATTTGTTGCAAGCATTTTTCTCTGCGGCTGCACATTTGATGCGATTTATTGCTCCCACAATCGGCAGTTATATAATGTAACTGGTTATTTTAAAATGCATATTGTGCGCATTCCCCTCAAGTTTCTTCTTCAATTATATTGAAATAATTATTAAGCTGGATGGGCTCAGGAAAGATTAAAGTACAGTAGGATTAGCAGACAGATACTACCAGCTTGTAGAAAAAAATATGTACTGATAAGCAAAGTCCAACTAGTGAAATAGAGATCCCTGTAGTCTGATTATTAGCCAGATGGAGGTCAAGTTTGTCTTGAATTTGAAGTTGCCGTTTCATAAAGCATCTAATATTTATGTGTTTTTGTATTGTTTTTTAGCAAAAAGGCACTGTAGATCAGAAACTAAAACTCTGTTTAAAAAAACACAAACATTAATATCAGAGCTGCTTGTAGTGTTTGTGATACTGGAAATCTAGTTGATGCTGTCATATTTACTGTGGATTATTATTTAAAAGTCAAAAAAGGTCATTGAAATCCTCCAGTTTCTTTGACTTTTCTGTATCTTTGACTTTGTAGCGATAAAAGCAGTCATGCTGTAAAAATATTCCTAATATAATCTCCTGTTATATGTTAAATCGTCATGGATGGCATGCTGTAACTAGTAGAGTATGCTGAATTTAGTAGACAGTAAAGCATGTCTGGAAGATTTTTTAAAACATCATATTTCAGAGTATTCGGTGTAAAACACACACACACATTCAAACAAAAACAAGACCTGCCCTTCACACCCTCAGACTTGAACACACCTTTGGCTTCTTACATTTGGTATAACCTGCTAATGTGACACTGCCTCATGATAGCTCCTCTCACTGCTCTCACACTCGCCTCCTTCTTCCCTTCTCACTTTCTTTGCGTTTTGCAATGAAGAAGCGCTAACAAGCTCCACACGCTGCAGCTGAAAACGTGCTGTAATTGTCTCTCGTCATGCATCTCGCTGTCTATTTTTAAACCTGCACAACAGTAGGGGAAGAAATGTGCTAAAAAGTGACGGCATCTTGCTTCTATTGTTGAATTTGAACTGAATAGACTTTTCTTCAGATGAATTCACAAGTAGTAAGCTCCTTCTTTTTGTTCGTCCTTGCAGCGTTCCTTGCTCTTGTTCTGACTGTAGTCACATTTCCTTGGTACTTGCTTCTTTATCTCTCTAGTTCTCTCTCCTCTCATTTGTCTTCCCTTGCTTTGCTGCCCTGTGACAGCTCCAGCTGCCTTTTACCCTCTAAATATCAACTTGATTAGCACTTCCTCACTGTGTGCGTTCCCCAATGTGCACTGCGCTGGGGCCCTTCTTTATATCTGTATGTACTTGGGTGATTCTGTCTGTTCTTTGATGAATTCCCGGTGTTGGTTGAATCTTCTTCTTGCTCTCTGGTGTTGACCCTGTCCTGTCCTATCCTCTGCTCTCAGCGTGTGAATGGAGCAGTGTGCGAGTACGGCCTCCCTGCTGGCCTCGGTGCGGGAGCAGGAGAGGCAGTTTGAGATGCTGAGCCGAGCTCTGGAGGAGGAGCGGAGGTCGTGTGCCGGCACCTTGCCCCGCCCCCTCCCCAACATGCAGGTAACACCAAAAAGAACCCGTCCCTACCACCAACCAACCACCTTACCCTCATGTACATTTTCCATCAAAACGTCCCTCGGATTCACCCTCGATCCGAGTGAGTTCATCCAAAGTCATCTCCATCGTCATCCCCACCTCATCTGTGTGGACTGGCTGGATTTCAGCCGAACCTTAACCATACCAGTGGGGTAAAACATGCCTCCTCTTGGGGTTTTAATCAAATGGGACTCTTGATATGTGCTCGAATTCAGCTTGAATTTCAGAAAATACAAGTTGAGTCAAATAAAATGACTGAGAAACCTGTTAGTCATGTCTTCCCGAGAAAGGTAATTTACACCCTCTGTTTCTCCTCGCAGCTTTCGATCACGCCTTTTATCCCCATCCTCCACTTTTCCTACTCTCTTTTTCCTCAGTAACCGTCCATATCGCATTTAAAATAAGTCTTCCATCGTCATCACATCCCTCCACCAATCCAGTCTTAACAACCCATCAGTGTTTGCATGCAGAGCAATGTCTTGCTTGGTTTGTTGTGATATTGGACCTCTATCATCAAGAGTTTACCTTTTGTAACAACAGTGTGGTTTATTTGTAATTAGCTGGATTTAATTCTGGTATGAAGAAGGATGTCCCTGAGTGCTTTTTCAGTGGTGTAACGTCCACACTGAACAGGGTCCAGCTGTGAATTCCCAATAAAACTCTTGATGTCTGAGTCTGTTTCATAAGTAAAGCGTATTATACCATGTTTGCTTACACACCCTCTTTATCGTGCGTGACTCAGTTACCTGGTTCAGAGTATGCAGAGACAACTCAGAGTGACTTCATCCTCTGAGTTCACCTCACAGACAGACATGCAGGCACACACGCCCACGCTCACTCTCGTTCTTTTGCTTTCTTATTGCCATGTGCCGCTATTAGTGCGCAGGAACAATCTGGCATACAAATGTGCACACTTTCAGCCCCGAGGCAACCTTTCCGACACACCTTTGAACAACTGGTGTTTCCCACTCACTCACTTCTCGACTCTGTCATTTGTCGCTCTTGCATGCAGGCATGCCTTCACCAGGACACATCGCAGTTCCAGGTGACCCAAGTGACTGATATGGAGCCGATCTTTAAGTAGTTTGCGTCTTACAGTGAGAGCAGGATAAAAAAATGTGGCCTGTGCTGGTTCTTATCATTGCTGTGTGTGTGTGTGTATGTGTGTTTACATAGCCCAAAGGCTTCGGCATGCCTCTGCCACTCTCTCAAGGCAGCGCAACACAACCTCAGTCTTCTCCGACAGGTTCCCACATGCTCGCATCTGCCCGGCACTTTTCTGCTTTTCTCTCTGCCTGAGACCTAATCTGAACTAAAGAGTGTGTTCATGTGCTTAATCTATGTCTTGTTCATTCGATCTGGGCTGAGTGCCATTCCACCTCTCACCAGTTCCTGCTTTCAGCAAGTTTTTTCTGTTATTTTTTTTTTTAAATCTGAGAATACGACATTTCTGTCCATGTGAGACAGCTGCAACTCATCTCTGAATCAGTGTTGAGCAATTTCCCCCTGGCTGTGCCCCCTTTATTCCTATTAAGATAGTATGAAGCTGCAGAGGTGTCAGTAGAGATAGAGCTCCCTCTGTGGCTGGAAAGGCAGGCGCACCACACCCATCACCACTCCTGAGCAGGCATTGCTGAGGGTGTCTGTGTACGTGAGGGTGATATTTGTCTCTGTGTTCATTCCACCCTCACATTCATTCATGGATTTGTTGGATGTTTACATAGTTTAGGAGATCAGATGTTTTTGGCTGAAACTGAAAGTGTCCAGCTGCCACTGACTTTCATTTTATTTTATTTTTTTAAACAGATTGTATGTTTTGCACAAAACTATATATTGTTTAGCAGTAATACAGTTTAAAGTGCCTGAGCTACGTATGGGCCATTGAAATATAGTGAAAGTTGACTTGCTGCTTTCACTTCTGGTTGTTTATTTGTTCTTCGCACGAGTGGCACGTTGCTCTAGACGGCTTGAATTTTTCAGCTGCTCAGCCGCTGATGTGTGTATTTGTTCAAGAACACGTTTACTCTTTAATTCTTAGCTGTGTGCTTGTGTGTCGGATCCTCTCAAGCGTATTCTTTTTCTATCTGCAGAACGGCCGCATTCCTTGTGATGCAGACATAGAAAGGCTGACACTGAACGAGGGTTACATCAACGGGACACATCACGTAAGCATCTTTCAGAGCTGTGTCTATTTCAACTCTTTCGTTTTTAGCCCGAGGGACTGTGTGCATTGACATTTTCGTTGAAATGGGTCTGCAGTTCAGGATGGAGCCTGGTCAGATGGTGCAGGAGACGTACACGGTGGAGGAGGACCCCCAGGAGTCACCACCTGTTGTCTCTGTGGAAACCAATGAAGATGGGACCACGCGGCGCACAGAAACCACGGTAACGATAGAATTCAAATGCCAATTGCATGTTGTAACGTGTACAGCTTATGGCACTATTGGAAGGGCCAGGAGGTGGCACACTGGCAGAAATGGAAACAAATGAAAGGAGTCTGGCTTTATTGGAAGATTTTATGCAAGTTTTTGTGCCTGTAAATATTCTGTATTGATTTCTTGTCTCTTGCCTCATGTGTTTTGCTCATTAAGGTCAAGAAAGTGGTAAAAACCACCACCACCCGCACAGTAATCCCCTCCGTGTCAGACACACTTTCCATCGACGGTGGAGGTTCTGTGACAGGTATGCCGGGCTACACAACACCCATGGACCGGGGCTACAGGCCGGCCCCTGGCGGCCCTGGTGTGCCCATGGACTACCCCACTTACACTGTGCCGCGCAACTACCATTACGGACCTCCAGCTGGCTACGATGAATACCGCGCTGGACCTCCATCTGAGACCTACGCAAGCCTTAACAGGGGAGCTCGTATGGATGATCGCTACAGGTACCGTGTCTGCTTAAATTCATGTTTATATTAGCACACTTCATCTAGAATTTTAAGGCTTGCAGATATAACTTCTCCATCCTCTTTTCAGAGATGGGTACAGAACCCTGGATCCAAGCTACAGAGCCCCCAGCAGGAACCAGCTGGACCCCTATGCTGCTCAGCCACAGGTATGTTCAGCAGTCATTGTATCTCTTGCTTTGGACATTTTACCTTGGCATGAAGACAGTCCTAGATTCACCTTTGAGGATTTACTTGCAAGATATGTGTTGAAATTATTATATATTTGTCTTGGTATTTGGCCTGGAGTTTCCATTATATTGTATTTTAATTCCTGCCTGTGCATAGGTCGGACGAATGGGAAGTGCTTTGGAGCTATCCTCCATCCCAAGGTTTGTACCAGAGCCGTATGGTCTGGAGGATGACCAGCGCAGCATGGGCTTTGACGAGCCCGACTATGGCATGGGACACCCAATGCACTACAGCACTGTGCCCCGCAACCACCATGCCTTTCCTCATGGGCCCCCTCGCAGGACTGGGTAAGTTGCCTCATCAGGGTTTAAAGGATGAGTGATGTCTAGACCTATATTTTACTTGTATGCACTATATGAAGTGTTTGTGAGTCATCTCTGAGTGTACAGAGTCTGAAATGTCTATTTTTTCCATATGCTAGAAGTAATTCTTATTGTTGCTGGTCCTGGACCTTGTTATTGTAAACATAACATGATGATATTTCTCTTTTGTATAAATTTCCTGTGTCATTGAAAGTATAAATGTCCTTTGCTTTCTGCAGGAGTTATGAGGGCACCTTGGATGGCGACATGAGCGGTCCAGGTGACATGTACTATTGGGGTGGAGGAGCTCCGCTGGCCCAGGGTGAAAGGGGGAGCATGGCTTCATTGGACAGCACTCTAAGGAAAGGCCCTGGCCCCTCTGGCTGGCGTCAGCCGGAGCTGCCAGAGGTCATCGCCATGCTCAACTACAGGCTGGACCCCGTCAAGAGTAACGCAGCCGCATACCTGCAGCATCTCACCTATAAGAATGATAAAGTAAGGGGTGCACATGTGCAAGCTCATTTCTTTTTTCATTAATTTAAAGCTTGTATAAAGTGCAGCAGAGTAGGCTTCAATCAGTAGTTAAGTCTCAAGCTTATGATTTGTGTTTACTCTAAGAAGGATTGAGGCATTTCTGATGGCATGTTAACAGGGAGGGAGAAAGTTCTGCCAGTATGGGTGTACGATTTAGGTTTCAGACAGATGGGTTTCAGGGAGTAGATGGTGTATAATGACGGGTAGTTCTGGTTTGCGACTGGTTACGAATTTGGAAAGACGGTTTCTTAGTCCACTTATGCATTGGTCACAACAATCTTGGATTATAGTTTCAGTCTGCTTGCTCATAACAAATGTGTTAGTACGCAGGTTTTATGTTTACAATAGCGTGGACATTTGTGTAACTTATTGACCTGGGGCCCTTTTGGGGTGGGGATAGAGGGATATGGCACTGGTTTTGTGGGGCACAAGTTATAGCAGCACAGAAAAAACTGTTGGACTCTACATGAAAGGGAACTTTCCATTCGTATCTTAATTTTTATGTCTCATATATTCATGCTGGCAATTCCGATGCATTATTTGTACACTGTGTTCGCAAGTATTCAGTGGATTCGTGTTCTTGGTGCCTCAGCTCACATGACCTGAATGGCCTTTTTGAGTAGGCATTATGTAATGGGGAAGAAGCACAAGTGGTTGTAGACTCCATTATCTATGTATTGTGAGGAGAAGATGTGCTCTTGACCCATGTTCCCTTTTTATTTTAAGATACAGAGCACTTCAAAATTTGCACAAAAGATAATGTCATGGACCAGAGCTTGAACTCAAACTAAGGCTAAGCTGTCGTATTCATGTGGATAAAGTAAAAGCTCATAACTTGAAAAAACATAGAATATTATGACATTTCTTGTTGAATTTGCCCACTTTTTTATTTTAACGATTTTCTGGGGTGTTTCTTCTTCAATAGGCGTCAGGGTTTGTCATACAATGTGCCCTGTGTTTTTCTTTCTTTTGATTTCTTTGTGCATTAGTACATCTTTTATATTTTTTGATAGTTTATTATGTATTTTTGATTAACCCTCGTGGCCAAATACATTAAACCTGATCCGATCCACATTCACATCACAGCTAATATTCATGCTTTTGATTTGCAGGTGAAGTCTGATGTGCGTCGTCTCAAAGGCATTCCAGCGCTGGTTTCTATGCTGGACAACCCAAACAGAGAGGTCAGTTTGCTGTTTTTCTCCACGGATTTCTGTTCACTCTTTACTGTTCTACAAGTTTCTTATGATTGGGATAGGCTGGCAAAAAAAAGAGTGAGGCTTAAAGGATGTAGTGTATCTCTTATGTAATCCAGAGACAGGTTGTTCGCCTGAAACAAACTGTCAGGACAAAGTGAACCAAAGACTCAGCCCTAATACCAAAAGAATGAGAAATAAGCAGAATGTATTTGAGTTCTCTCGGTCAAATCCTGGAGGTCAACATTTGTGCTAAAAATGGTTTCGGCCAAAACATTCTGTGGGTTTTCTGTAGTTCTCTTTCATTTCGGTTTAGCTGTGGCAAAGTTTTGCTGATGTTTGAGTGGGCATTACCAGACAAACCACATCATGCATTCCACTCCCGGAGCAAATAAGCATCTTAATTTCACATTTCATGCTCTATGGCCAGTGACAAGTTTGAAGTCTTGTGTGTGTTGGATAACTTGCTGACTGGACAAACGGGTCAGACAGCGACTGCATCCTCTGAACATTTGAAAGCGGTTTTATAGACTCAATTCAGTTTGTTTAAATAACGGGAAACAAATGTTTTTAAAAGAGTATCATCAACATTGTTTTACAGTGTAAGTATGTAAGAAATGTGGGCAACCTAATTTACCATTAATTATAGTAATTACTTGCACGAGCTGCACAGCAAAGACTCGTGTAATACGTGTAGTGCAATTTAACATTTAGAAGAGCATGACATTGTTTCTTACTGCTGCTATTATGACTCCATGTATGTGAAATCAATGCTTTCTTTAAGTGGTACTTCATCCTGACTAATGGCTCGTGACGCTGTTGTTGCGTCTGTGTTTATAGGTTCACTACGCAGCCTGCGGAGCACTGAAGAACATCTCATACGGCAAAGATCCAGACAATAAGATTGCCATCAAGAACTGTGACGGAGTGCCGGCTCTGATCCGTCTGCTGAGGAAGATCCGCGACCAGGAGCTCACCGACATTATCACAGGTCAGTTAGAGGTTCCGTGGAAACCAGGTACAGGAGTTTTGCTGCAGTTTTTCGCATTTTGTTGCCGATATTAGTTCAATCTTAAGAGTTCAACGGACACTCAAAAGTCACTCCCATTCTTCTCAAGTGAACTCCTCTTAAAGTATTTATTGCAGCAAAGTGTGGCGAATATCGAATGACGCTTTATGACTTGACCTTTAACAATGCTAGTAACTTGTCTTTGTGATGAAGTGTCTGCAAGAAAATTTTGTATTACATTTCCATTAAATTTAATCATCGTTGCAACCTGTGTCCATCTCCACACCATCACTCATGTTTGCTTCCTCACTGCATAGAAATTCATGCAGTGCAGTCTTTTTTTTTTTTATGGACAGCAGAAATAGGCTTTATAACTCTTCTTTAGCATTTTTGTATAATTTGCATTTTAACGTTTCTGTTACTATTGTTTTTTCCCCCCAGGGACGCTGTGGAACCTCTCGTCTCATGACTCTGTGAAGATGGAGATCGTGGACCACGCACTGCACGCCCTCTCTGACGAGGTGATGGTGCCCCATTCGGGCTGGGAGCGAGGGAGCAACGGAGCAGGAGGCGGCGAGGAAAACTGCAAACCCAGACATCTTGAGTGGGAGACAGCCCTCACAAACACAGCAGGCTGCCTGAGGTAAGGAGCAACGAAAGGGAGGCATGGAAACAGCATCAGAGAGCAGACCAGAGCTGCCTAGCTGATGATATAGAAGATGGAAGGAGGGGAGGGTTGATGTAGACGGGAAAAGAAAGTGGAAAGTTGCCAGTTCAACAGCCTGACAGAACTGTGGGACGTATGAGGGCGGAAGGAAGCAATGAGGAGTTAACAGAGCAGAAGAGCAGGAAATGCATCATGGAGTGGTATTCAAGCAAAGATGGAGAATAATTGCACATTCAGAATACATAATAAGTCCTCTTAAAATCAGAATTAAGTGTCCTGCTGTAAAAGAAATAGTGGCATGAAGTTTTTATTAGAAAGTGACAGAAAACATGTTGTACCTGCTGCATCTAATGAACAAAAATAATGTTTCTGTTTCTCGAATGTCAGAAGTCTTTGTGCACTTGTCACTGGTAGAACCTGTTTTCCAAATATGTTGAATATTGGTGGATTTTACAGCCAGCTTACCCTCTAATGTCAGGAATTTCCTGCAAAGAGGATTTTTTTTGGCACAGCCCCAAAGAGGTTTAAGGCAGGCTTTTAACTAGATTTCCTAATAGGTGATTCAGTTACTCAAGTATGATGGGCATTTTTTTTGATAAATGGTCAGAAATAACAGAGATTTCTGTCAAAGGTAAAACACTCATTGTCTTAGCTTCACGTGGGCTTATTGTCTTGCACAGTCACCCCCCCCAAAGGCCTATCCTTATCCCAGGGAAAACCCTCAATATCTATTTAATAACTGGAGAAAAGCACATTTTGATAAAAGTGCTGTCTCAGCAGAACGATGAAAGTGAATTTGCACCGATACCTTCATGCAAGTCTAAACTTTGTACACTTCTAAGTGGCAGCAGAGACGCCCAAAAAAATCACTAAAAAACTCAGATTAATGGTGAAATTTACAGGCAGTTTTCCCTCTTTAATATCAGGGTTTTTCCTACATGGAAGAATTTGTTTTTAAAAAATGCAGAGGCTCTATGTGGACTGATCATGCTTACTGTCATATGTACTCAATCCTAAAAGCCTACTCATAACCCAGTAAAACCCCTGAATATCTGTTTAATTACTGTAGAATAGTACATTTTGATAAAAGTACTCCAGCAATACATTAGCCAGGATACACCAATGACCACACAGGTCCCTCATTTTCAGAGGTCTGTCTGTATTGGAAATGATGCATCTGGTTCATTGTGAATGTTCGAAGTCTTTTCTTGATTACTACCAAATATAAACAGGATATCTCATGTATTTTTATATAAAAGACTTTTGGGGTAAATGTCAGTGATTTATCGAGGAAAAATTTGAACCGAAGAAGAGATCTGCTAGCCCACAGTAACCGTGAGGGATCAGGATGGGAATGTCATAGTTTAGAGTTAAGGGGACGAGCAGAGGACAGTGGGGCATTGACTTATTCAGTGTAAACAGTATGTTCTGGCCTGTGGCTCTGTTATCTATGCATTCCCCTCGACCACACGGTTAATTACAGTGTTGACTTGCGGGTGTGGAAAAGCATGCGTGAATAATCTTGAACACTCACAATCTTTGGTATTCACAGAAGTGATCTGGACAACATTAAACTAGTTCAAAAGGACTAGACGGTGGACTTGGAAGAGCTTCACGATCATTTAATATATAGTATGATGATGTGTTTATAGATCCCAATAAACTGGTTGAACATCATAGTTAGCGTTAGTGTCTTTAAATCTAATTAAGTAAGTGGTAGAAAAAATCTGATCTGTATCAGATGTTGGAACTGAATCCATTTAGGAAGCTGATTATTAATTTGTTTAGATCAAGCTTTAGCTCTTGTTGTCGCCACTTTTCTTAATTCGCAAATATTCTAAAGTGTTTTTTAAAAGATCCTCTGCAGTGAATTTGAGACGGTTGTTTTGATTTCCTACAGAGTGAATGAATTGCATCACTTTATATAAATTGGCTGAAAGCAGAACACTAACTGTACCCGTTTTTTTTTCTTCCCTGGGATTGTTTCATCTTGAACCAGAATGGCTCAGAAGTTTAAATAATATAACCATACAAAAATTTAATATGTAGGGGCTCTACCTTTATAGGCGAGTACACAAAAGGAATCTCTGATTTTGTTGAAGTAGTAAATGAAACATGAATAGAGTCTGGAGAGTTTTGACGCAGGCAATAGGCAGAACTTGTCTTGTTACAAACTGCTTGTTTGCACTTTTAATTAAGACTATGATGATTTTCAGTGAAGCCCAGTTCAATCTGAATAAGTCCGTAGAGCTGTTTCATCTAATTTAGCACTTTGCTCTTTAATTTTATGTTTACCTCCATCTGGAAACGTGGTAGCTCTTTCGATTTACGGATAAGAATGAAAGCTGTTTGTGTAGTTGTCGAGGACTGCAAACAGCAGATGGCAGCCAGAGTTTTATGGCTTCAGAAACCGTGTAAAGTTGTGTCAGTGAACTCACCACTCATGTTTGCCTGCCCATCTGGCCTGTTACTGCTTCATTTCAAAGGCTGGTGAAGAGGCAAAAGGTCTAACACTGATTAATCTATGCTGCTGTAATTGGAGTGCTCACTTTATGCCCTAGATTTTTTTTTATTTCACGTTCTTCCTCTGCATAGAGAAGATTTGCTACTAGTGACCACATCTGACACTAGGATTTTTTTTTATAAACATAGCAAATTTAAAGCTATTCTTTTTTTGGAAACTGGGACTCTCTTCTCTGCTGCAGTCCTCGTTTGATTTAGTCTGCATTTTTTTTTTCTCATTATGTGTTTGCCTGCTGCAGCACGTAAATACATTTTCCTGCAATATGCAGTGAAGTGGAATCAGTGCCCCCTGCTGTGGAAGGGAATTTGTCCTGGTATTGTGTCAGAGGGCGTGTCTGTCACTGGGAAAAAACAGCCCAGCACAAAAGACCAAGACTGAATGCCATACCACTGAGTTTTCTCCCTCATCTCCCTCATGCTACTTTCTTTGCATTCCTACTGTATCGACTAAGGGGGTCTCAGTTTCCATCCGTCCAGTTCTGCTAGCTCTCTAAGTTGCACTGAGTCAGAGGGCAATAGAAGAAACAAGTCCAGAGATGTAACTTGACCTTGTCAGACTGTACTCTCTTTGTAAACCAGTGGATTTAACAGGAGTTTCATTCAAACAGCTCTTGGGGGTGTGTTCAAGCATTATGTGCTGGAATCCTTTTGTCGTCTGTAAGACCGACTCTTTCCGTCCCCCCTTTAACCTCTTAACTGCCTCATGTGTTTCTCTAGACGGTGCTAATCCGTGTTTTGTTTTGTTTTCTGCCCTTCTCAACTTTCCTCTCGTCTAAAGAAATGTGAGTTCTGAGCGAAGCGAGGCGAGGAGGAAGCTGAGGGAGTGCACAGGATTGGTCGATTCACTCATGTACATTGTCCAGTCCCAGATCGACTGTAAAGATGTGGACAACAAGGTAAGTGCAAGTCCTATTGATTGACATTAAACCTTTTGGTACATTCATTCAATGAAGTTAATAGATAAAACTTTATGCTTTCAACAGTAAATAGTATGAAATTCAGAGTTATTTTTGCTTCATTTGGGATTTTAACCAGCTGAACCCCAAAACGTGCAGGCTAGCTTGAAAGGCATGTTATTATTCTTATTTTTTTTTTATTGCCAAATTTATACCATTTATAATGGCAAGACACTGTAAAAACAGAAAAAAAAAATCAGCAGAATTTGCTGTTGGGTCTTGAACTAATCATTCATGACTTTCAGTTTTTGTGGGAAAAACAACCAAATGTAACCTAAAAATCAGAAGATTTCACCAAAATCACTGTGTTGTAGATGTTTAATTTTAAAAATAGCATAAAAAATAAAGTCTTTACAGTAACCACCTTCTCCAGTAATTTCCCAGACTGGAATAAATAAAGTATTTTTCTATTCTATTTCTTCTTCTAAAAAAAGAAAAATCTAAAAAAAAATGCAGTCTTTGTCACAACCAGGAAGCTTTTGGTGACTCAGCTGCAACAAACAGCCTCGAAACAAGAAACCGACCAATCAGGGACTTTTTGGTTGGACCTTGGACTGTGTTTACACCTGTAGAGCAGATAGAAGACAGTTTTGGTAGCAACTGTGGGCCCTTGGAACAATGTTGTACACGTTTATTCCACTTACAACTTTTACTTTTTCGTATTTTTTATGATTTTAGCTTATTTTATACAGCACAAAAGATATTTGAGTTCTTTTTGCTTCTATTCATGGTTGTTTCCATAGAGGTTCAAGACATAATATTGCACTGAAAAATAAGCTCACAGTGAGTAAAAATGTAACGGGAGCAAAAAAAAAAAGACCCAGAAACTGCTTGCCATAAAATGAGACCATATGATGCACAATTATCCATTTATGATGACAAAGCTGGCATAGATACCGTTTGCGTCATAATAAATTATTTGTTTGTCCACCTGACCGCTTTATTTCCATCTGTGCAGTTGATAGAGAACAGCGTCTGTCTGCTGAGGAACTTGTCTTATCATGTGCACCGCGAGATCCCCGGCTGTGAGCGCTACCAAGAAGCTGTTCCCATCAACCAGGGCCCTCCCCCTGCCAGCCAGAAGGGCGGCTGCTTCAGCTCCCGGAAGAGCAAAGGTCTGTATCAGAAACCAAGAGGAGAGAGAGAGAGAGAGAGAGACATGTACTGTATTTGCTCAGGCGGTATCAGGAGCATTTGGAGTGATGTCACTGTTGACGACGCCATCTCACTACACTGATACTGACAGACACACACACACACACTTCCACAAACAAAAGACCTCACTAGAACAAGAATGTTAACAATTCCACTCCCCCCCTCCATCAGGGAAAGCTCATCCTCTCTCCAGCTGCTCTGTCTGTTTGTGTTTCACTGAAAGTATTGATTTTTTTCTCTCAACTGACTACTGTTTTGGGGCATTGTCAATGTTATTAAGTTATTTTAATATAAGGATTAACATATGTCAGCATTAATTATGGTAGGTTTTATTGTTATGGGATTTTTCTTATTACTTGAACATAAAGTGCTAATAAAGACATAGTGTAATAAATTGGCAAAGGCTTGGACAAGCTGTGCTAACAATGTACCAATGACTTTTTTTTTAAGTGTCTGTTAAAATGTGCTGTCCACAGCAACAGACAAGATTCCCAATTTGAAGTAGAAATAATACCCGACCAGCTAAACATTGTTTTAAGCGCTCTCCATCGAGTGAATACCCGTCTGAGCATCATCTTCTTCCTTTTACTCTGGATTTTCTTTAAACTGTAAATTCAGCCTCATTTTCCTGGGAGATTTTCAAATCCCTGTCCGACGCAGTTAGGTAGTGAAAGAGAGTTTTTTTCCGGGACCCAATCTAAATGATGATGGTGTCAATATTCTATAGATAATGCATTGTGCAATCAACATTCTTTTATAATGATGGGATAAGGCCAAAAATAAAAAATAAAATAAAATGTCTTTGCTGTCACTTTAAAAAATCTTTTTTTTTTGAAATGCCAGAAATGGTGCAAAAATAGAAAGTCCAAGGTAGAATTTGCTTCTTGTTTTGTTTGACCACCAATCAAAAAAACTCGCTTTAGTTCTAAAATTGTGCAAAAAAAAAAAAAAGACAATAAAAAAGAAGTTGCTGTTGCATAAGCAGAATCTTGTTTTGAACTTTGACTGCTGCTTTTTCGTAGCAATCTGCACAGAAAGAAATGTTCAGGTGTGCTGTGAGTTTGAGTGGTGGCGGACTAAACTTGAAATAGTGATATAACACGGGAATATAACATCAGAGTAGAAGCCAAGCAAGACAAAAATGTCTTGGCTCATTGGACATCAGCTACACAAATGTTTTTTTCTGTGTATTTGTCATGCTTAGGTGTGTTTGCACAGAAATGTATCACAGCAGTGAACTCTTTAACAGTGCACAGAGCAGTGTGAATATGAGATTTACACAAGCTGGTGTCTTCTTCCATTTGCTTCATTTGGCCTTCATAACTGGCATGTCACATTGCTGAATCTGTGTGGTGGCAGCGTTGGGATGTAAGCAGATGTTAACTGGGTGGCTCAGTTATGGCTGCTTTCCTTTTTTACTTAAATGCTCTCTCTACCTCCTGTTCTGCCACTCTCTCCTTCCTGCCCTCCTCTCTTTCTCCTCCCTCCTCTCCGTTCTTGTCTCCCCTGTTCGGCTGGGTTACAGATGAGTGGTTTTCCAAAGGTAAGCTTTCTTTACCTCTGTATGACTGCACTGTGCTTCCGCTGCCTGTTGTTGTCTTAGTGTAAAGCAGTAGTGGAGTGGCTGAGCTAACAGATCCAGGGCTGAATTTGTACTAACATGCATGACTCCTCTTATCACTGCCAAAGAGTAATAGTGTAATATTCATTAGAGAAACTGCATCTCAGCTTGTTTTTTTTTGTTTTGTTTTGTTTTTTTAATGTATTCACCCCTGACAGCATACATCTAACCATCTAGAGCAGGTGTACTAACAGTGAAGCTATCACTCTAAAAAATACATTTTTAGAGTCTGTATCAGACTGTTTTGTTGTGTTCCTAAGACGTTGTTGATGTTCGCTTCCCAGGAAGGAAAGACGAGGATCCAGCTGTAGATATGATAGACATTCCAAAGAGAACCACACCTGCTAAAGGTAAGCATAGGCTCAATGGACACCCATTTCCTGTATTGTCTTGCACTGAAAAGAAAATATGCATTTACTCATAACGGTCACTTTCTTCCTGTCCCTCTTCTGGACTGCATTCTTTACTTATTTCCCATCATTCTCCTCCTGCCCTGCTCCCCCACTGTCTCTCCTTTTTCTCTGTAGGCTATGAGTTGTTGTACCAGCCGGAGGTGGTTCGCATCTACACTTCTCTGCTAAAGGAGTCCAAGAACCCCACTGTGCTGGAAGCCTCAGCTGGAGCAGTTCAGAACCTGTGTGCAGGACGCTGGACTGTAAGAACTGCCATCCATTATCATCCTACTTCATTTTACAGCACCAGCAATCTACATGCTGAGTAATACTCCAGAAATCTGAGCACGTATTTACTATGCACAACTCTTACAGCATGCTACAGGATGGGCTTCTCAAACATTAGTCATTTAAATGCACGGCTGCTTTAGATAAAGACATTAGTACACAACCCTTTCCCGAAGCACTATGACTTGGATCTGACCTAACTTCCCAGTACTTTGAATTTGTTCGAACTAAAAATACACATATTACTGCAAAGGAGGAAATAAAATACTCAGTTATTTGTTCAAGGAGGCATGTCCAGTCTTGAATAACACTTTTTAAATACTGTGGCTTAGAGCTAAAGACCGTCGAAGATAAGATTAGTAGAATAACAAAGCTGGAATAATGTGGAAAAATGGGAGTTTTCCTTTTAGTTGACATTTGGTCTGATTCGCTGGATGCATACTTTGGTATTCGCCTTCCATTCCTGCCATGCATTTCACTCAACATTCTCTTTCCCATCTGCTATTTGCATACTACCTAACAAAAATCTCAGAGCTAGAAACCTACACACTAAAGATGGCAAGTATTGCCGACGATTTGGTTGTTTCTGTGAATTTCCCATTTTAAATACAGCACTCGTCTCCCTGCACGCAGATGTACCACCAAAGCGAGTCGCCTCCATACTATTTTAAAGGGGTACAGACTTAGCACCACCCAGGACAATTGTAATTGGTTTAAAAAAAGAAGAGTATAAACTAGCCAGAGAGTTTTTCCGCTGTATGAGGTGCAGCCAGACCATTCTCCAGCACTGACATAGCGCTGTGGAAATATTTCTGGCTATGTGAGACCAGTTGGCATGCCTCCTCAATCAGAGTCTTTGGAAAAGACATCCAATACCATACTTTCCTAACTCCAATGTGCCTCCAATGTAAATGCAGTGCAAGTTAACTTTATCTTATCTACAAACTGCTGTAATTGGAAAAGTGCTGTATGGCTGACCTCATGCAAATTTAATAAAAAACCATCCTTTGTGCACCTTCTTTTTATGAATATATATAAAAGTAGATTGAGGTGGTCAAGGGTACAAATAATTGGTTCTTCTTACAAAAGGAATCCACCCAGAAAATCCTATTCAAAGGTCTTGGTAGAGGGCAAAAATGACGACCGAAGGAGTAGGTGTTTGACAGTTGATCACATAGCTCAAAATAAGACTGTATGTGTGTGCTTCTGTTCAGTATGGGCGATACGTTCGTGCCTTGCTGCGTCAGGAGAAGGGTCTACCCATGATGACTGAGCTGCTGGCACACGGGAACGACCGAGTGGTTCGAGCGATGTCTGGAGCCCTTCGCAACCTGGCCATTGATGCACGCAACAGAGATCTGCTAGGTGAGCTACATTTCTAATCCTGTGGTACTAGAAGGATGTATCGTATCAGTGCTAGTGTTAGTAGTTCAGTATGTTGTAATGTTTAAACTTGTTTCATGTTGTTAGGCAAACACGCGGTGCCTCACCTGGTGGCCAACCTGCCCGGTGGTGGTCAGAGTCAGCCGGTGCGAGCGCTGTCAGAGGAGACTGTGGTGTCTGTATTGAGCACGCTCCATGAGGTGCTGGGCTCCAGTCTGGAAGCTGCCAAGACCCTGAGGGCCTCACAAGGAATCGAGAGACTGGTGCTCATTAACAAAGACGGGTACGGGCTGATGGATAGATATTTTCTGCCCACATACACAAGTTTGCACCCTGATGAAATTGCACTTTTAAATCATTTGCTACCGGGCGCTCTTGTTGTCAGTAATCGTTCTGAGCGGGAGGTGCGTGGAGCCGGCCTGGTGCTGCAGACAGTGTGGGGCTACAAGGAGCTGCGACGCACTTTGGAGAAGGACGGCTGGAAGAAGACGGACTTCATGGTCAACCTAAACCCTCCAAGTAACAACAACAGAGCCAACGGAGGATATGAGGACAGCACTCTGCCACTCATAGACAAAGGTCAGGAAGCAGCTCGAAATGACTAAGATGTGTCTGTTTATTAGCATTTTTGGGGTATAGCTTTTGTTGCTGCAAAAAATGCATAGTATACAGTGTCTTGATTCTCATTTTGCTTGCACACAGCTGTAAATCTGATTGGTGTGATGACTTGTTTTTAACCATCTCATAACTCAAGTTTTAGACCTCTCCTTTTAAGCCAACTGTGGCAGTGTTTCAACAAATCACCTCTCCTGATGATTCCCCCTGCACGTTTCTTTGTGTTGCAATTCACAAGTTGATTGCATAATATGATTATAGGCTGTTTGCAGGCTTCAGAGAAATAAGAGCTGTATGTCCCAACCTGCTTGTCATGCAGGACCTTTAAGGGGTTACAACACTGGAACATTTTCAATAATAAAAACTGTGTGGTGTCGGTCTTTGCAATGCCCTTTAAATTGGTTCTTAATAATCATAAGCGCTTTAAAGCTGTTAGGCATTCATTTCCAAGTTCCCAAACCCACTCTCACCGCAGTAGGATAAACTATATATTTAAACATCCCAGTCTAACACTTATAAAACACTCAGGCACCTACACACTGCTGTGCTTGGCAGGTCTGACTGTTCGCTCTGAGGGAACAGAGACCTTTGACGTTACAGAGAAACTGTGATATTTATACTCACTGTTTTAATGTTTCTTTGATACACAGGCAGCAAAGGTGACCGGGAGATGATTCCAATGAATGACTTGGGACCAGGCAAGTGTGAAAACAGAAAACGCTCAATCTACTAACCCTTATCACATCAGCAGGAAGCGATATTGACTTGTAAAGGCTGAAGATGTTTGTGTTACAAGCACACAGACACCTCTGCTTTAACATATGTGGCTCCTCTTCAGATGCCTACTCCACACTGGACCAGAGGGGGAGGAACACTCTGGATAACACACTCGAACCTGCTGACAAAGATGCAGTACAGGTAAGGGCCGGGCACATGCACAGACACCACACCTTTCAGCACACATAATGCTGCATGACTGCACCTTAAGAGGAATTAACTGCCTTATATTTAACGTGAACTCTGCTATATAATTCCTATATCTCTCATAACCAAAATACACCTGCAAGAGCTTGCAATGCAGCCAAAGCGAAATTTGTAAAGATGTTTTCTCTCCTCTTGACATAATTGCATGTATATTACTTAGGGTTGGTCAAATAGAGCAAGACTTGAAGCTGCTATCAAGCCTCTGATCACCTCTGTGAAATGATTCCACTTTACTGAGACGTCAGTTTTCATTTATAGCTGTAACAACGCTGAATAATTTATACTCGAGTGACTATCTAGATAAAAAAAGACAGACATTGTGAGGAGAAATCATTAATCCTGTGCAACAAACGCACACGTTTTGAGCTCCCAGAATGTTATCGTGTGAATGGACATGTTCTCACACACTCCCACAGACAGCATGTCGATGCATGTCCTGTTACAGCACAGTGGTTGATATGTATCCTGCACAGAAATTTCTCACCGGTGTCCTTCTTTACCCCCTGAAACATGACCTAACATTGAACTAACATCTTCTTTGTTTTGTATCTGATGCCTTGTTTCCTTCCACTTTTCCCTCTGCTGCTCTTTTTCCTCTTCCTGTTCCATGTTTTGTGTCCACTCACCTTCTCGTCACACTGGAACCCTCGTGTTATTTAACCCTCTTTTTTGCCGTGTGTCTTGTCTCTCTTTCCCCCTCCCACTGTGTCTCCCGTGGACTTGTTCTGTCTCTTTATCTATCACACACTCCTCCTCTCTTTATTTTTTGTCTTTCTCCTTCTCAGGGAGGGATGTATGGGGAGAGGCAGGCCTCCTTGCCTCTAATGGATTCTTACGATGGTTAGGCTACACCCACTGTGTCACACTGCATGTCCGCGCATGGTATGTGTGTCCCACCGGCTGCTTCTCTCACCTCACTGCATGGCCTATTAACTTAGTTGCGTTTAAGGAACTGTGTTTAACAGTGACCAGTGTTGTCAGTGAGCTTCCATTTGTACTATATTTGAACTGTTGTTTTGCTCCCCCTGCTGGTGAAAAGTGTCTTTTGTGCTCCTGAGATGTGATTTGATTTTTTTTACATTTGATTTCAGTTTTCGTCTAACATGTGGTTACATTGTTGTCCACAGCAACTACTGTGTTTTGTATTTTATTTTATTTTTTAAAACCCTCTTCCCATCCAGGCATGATCGCCTCCCATGAGCCGCCCCACGTGATAAATCCCCGCCCTTCTTTTCTTGCAGAAAAACTGATTGTGTGCATCACAAGACGACAGCCTCCTCCCACTTACTGCCCTTGCTGAACTGACAATGGGGGACCACTACGCTACCGATGGGACTAGACTCCATCCTTAACGCTCACCCTTCTGTCCCTCCTCACTCTTTCGCAGCTTTCCTTCTCTCTTTCTCTCCCTCTCTCTCTCTCTCTCTGTTACATTCCTGCATTGCAGCTGACAAAGTAATGAAACCACACAGAAAACTGACGTGGATCTACGCTCCCTGTGGACAAACCGGACGTGACACTATGACCACTTAGTGCTCTGTGAGTCTCTGTACTCCACAGAAAAAAAACCCAACCACTCGATCACATGACTGTGGCCTCAACACTACATCTCCAACGCCTACAACTTGCCTGGACGACACTACAAGCGCTCTCTTCGACAGAGACTGTGGCTTCACCTGAGAACTTTTGTATTTCTTGGAGGTCGGAGGGTAGACTTAGACTAATTACACTAATTAAAAGGAACTGTCGGGATCAGAGCAGGACACTTTCTGCTGAAATTTTACATATGACACTCTGTTTTGAAACGAAATCGAGGGAATGTGTCATTTTTTTTCTCTCTCTCTCTCTCTCTCTGATGGTTAAACACTACAAAAAAAAAAAAGATTTCCTACCACTGAGAATCAATGTTTATCAATCTAATTAGATAATGTGTAAAAGCTTCTGCTTCTGTTTTGGTAGTGGTTGTTCCTCTACTTGCTTTGCCTCTGTACCGTTAGTTATGTACCTGTGCCGTACCTGTGCCAAATGACACTGCTATCGCTGCGACTGCCAATACTGAATGCAAGAACATGGCACACTCACTTCTTATTTTTCCCCAGCAGCTACACACTGAAAAACGGTCATCCGCTTTATTTTATACGCAATTTGTGTCGGTGACAGCCCATTGCCAAGATGCATGGATATGCTGCATTTTCTGTAACTGATTGTGATCCTCAAATACACAAGGGTGCAGGTCCTGGTATGGATATTTGTACAGATAGAAACAAAGCAGACAAATGATTCTCCTCCTCGTCCGGAATAGACGATTAAGTCTGTTTCTTAAGTGATCTTTCTGTTAAATGTAATTCTTGGGAGATTTCACAGCATTCATTTGCGTGTATCTGCAGGTCTATAATCTTATGAATGTGTACATACAAGTCTGTCTTTAACAGTGGGCTAACTGGAGTGCCTCGCTCTGTCAGGATAGGTCTGATGGGTGTGTTCAACGTGACCAGGGTAACCAGTAAAGCTGTCTTTTTTTCACAGCAGCTTACAAATTGGGAGTACTGTATATGGAACTCAGCAGTTTTCTCTTGTGCAAGAGTATGTGAACTTGTATGTAGGAGCTGATTCTTGTTGGAATTGTTTTTTTTTTTTTTTTTTTTTGTTTTTTTTAATAAGGTATAAAACTCTTGAGTTCTGTATAGTTTACTGCTTCACAAACCCACAGCCTTCCTGGCTTTAAGACTACAGAACAGTACTTGGGAGATGACGCAGTATTGTCTGTTTTTTTTTTTTTCTGGCCCACGATTCTTTAGTACAGTGCTTGTTCTGTAGAAGAATGCATATTCTTAGTGCCGAGTGAGATGTAGATACTTACTGAGTGGATTATTAAAAGAAGCACTATGGGGGTATGATGTGTGTTTTTCTTTTTTTTTTTCTATTTCTTTTTTTTTTTTAAACTTTCATTTGTTTGTTTTCCATGCCAATTAAAAAAAAAAAAAAGAAAACGACAGAGGAAGCCTCATTTTCTCAAATTAACAAGTTGCCTTCAAGAGTGGACTGACTTAAAGAGGAGAACACAAGGAGAGCAAGGGTTAGCGGAAATCTGTGTAAGGAGGCCAGAATTTGCTATTTAGATAAAAGTGGAGATTGAAAAAGCACATTTAAACTATATATACAAGAGAATATTTGTTAATTTTAATGGTTTTATGTATTTTTTTTTTTTTTTTTTTATTATATTGATTTGGGTTTAATTGTTTTGGGTGCTCTGGGTGAACGCATATGCAATCAGTTTATGTTTTGATTGAAAACATTCAGTTTATGTCTTAATTATAAAAGCGAACCAAGTTAGCTGAACAAAAAAATCCTCCGACACACTCATCAGATACTGGAACACTAATGGAAAGAAGCATATTGTGGAATACACCTTAATCTCTTTGCCTTGGCTCTTAAAGTTGCACATTCTCATTTATGAATGAATTATGTAACTAGCAATAATGTTTTTAATAAAAAAGAAAATGATTTCTCAGCGCCTCTGTTTTCCTTTGTCTCTTTGTTGCTCTCGTTGTTTAATAATGAATCAGCTTTAGTGATAATTACCAGTTCCAGGTTTTCTTCATTGTGAGCTTAGTGTCCTTTGCCAGAGCGGCCGGAAGGCGGCGCTGTCACATAGCCGCTTCTCCTTCACTAATTGCAGTAACTCCTTGGAGGTAAACATTTCCCGACTCTGTAACGTTAATTTGGGGATTTTAACGCTTACTTCAGAGCTGAAATAAACTTTAAGTGCCCCAAACGCCTCTATTCCTGCAACAGAAAAGTACTGGTAAGTGTAATTTTGATGCTAACGAGGCTAGTTTGTGTGAAGTTGCTAGCGCTACTATTGCAAATCAAAGCTAACCTAATTAAACTTTCATTTTATTGAGTGCATTTGCCAAACTACAATTTTATAGATAAAGTGGTGCATTTTTGTTTTAGTTTGTTGGACTGTTTGTATAAGCTCTGTGCTAATAATGCGGCTAGCTCTTAAGCTAGCTAGTCACTAAGCATTAAGTTATTGTCACGCTTCGAACGTCAAAGTCCCGGAGGAGAGATTTTATGTAATTACACTCTGTGACTAAAAGACAGATTAGTTTAGCGTCGGTAAACGAATTGGAACAACTCCACAAAACAGCTTTTGTTCGGTAAGTAAGAAGTCGGCACCGTGAAGTTCACTAACTTGAAGTTAATTCTTCGCGCTGGAGTCGCTCTGTCACGGTACATGCTAATTAGCTAAACAAGCTATGCTAATGCTAATGAGCGCACATGTGCCTGGAGTAGATCTGTCACAACATGTACACACGTGTCCAGAATGTGTTTTGCTCTAAGGAAATCTTTAGGTTTGTCGAGTATTATGCATAATTTTGCAGGTTTCTTAACCATAATATTTAAATCCGGCAGGTAAATTAATATATATTTTATTGTAGGTTTTACATTTTCATATTAAAGTTGGTCATACTGATATATATTATAATACTGTATGGTCATAACCTTAAATCCTAAATTAATTAGGTGATTTGGCCTTGTATGTGGAGTTGTATATTAATTAAGCATAAATTGGGTTAATTAGTATTATATATAGTATTGTTGGATCTTAAATAATTTTTCTTTTTTTTTTTTAAATTATTCTGATAATTTGTATATGATATTGGGGGATTGAGAAGGGTGTTAACCTTAACATTGATATTAATCAGGTAGCTTTGTATCGTGTATAGTATTGTAGCTTTATACCCATATTTACATTTGTCAGGTAAATTATATCATACATAACAATACAGGTACTTAACCTTAAAAATTTAATTAATCAGATAAATTGGTATATTTTAATATATATTAATATTTTAACCATAGTATTTACATTAGCCGTGGCAATTTGTCATAAAATATTGTCGTATACTGGCCTTTAATTTGTAATTATTCAATTAATTTGTAGTATATGGTATTGTAGGTTCTTAATTTTAATATTTATTAGGTTTTCTGTTATATTAATTTGTGTTGTGTGTGATATTTTAGTGTCTTAATCTTCTTTTCAATTAATTTGTCAATTAATTTGGCATAGTATATACCGTTGTAGAGACTTGCACCCAATGTTTAAGTCTGCCAGATACATTTGTGTGATATCTATTTTATGTAGGGCTTTAATAATATTAACGCCCTACAAAATAGTGCCTTAACCTTCATATTTAGATCAGTCATGTTAATTTGCAATATTATATTGTCGGGTATTAACCTTAACATTTAACTTAGTCAGGTAATTTAGTGTAGTGTATAATATTGTGTGTTTTCAATCTCAGGTTGTGTTGCACTAAATTCAATCACATTTCTTCAAGTGTTCCTTTGTCCATATACTTTCCATCCTAGTCTCCATGTAGACATGCAGAGATACCGGTGGCCTGATTATGAGATGCAGCTTCTTGGACAGCTGCAAAGACAACAAAACAGCGCTCAGTTCTGCGATACCCTCCTGCAGACTGATGGTGAGACCAGAAGGAAAAATCATAACAGGGAAAACATGCGCCTTATTGATTAAACTGAAGGAAACACATGATTAACTCTTATCTCTCCAACTTCTCCTCCTCATGAAGGGATCTCAATCCCAACCCACAGCTGTGTCCTTGCAGCTCTCAGCCCCTTCTTGTCCCAGAAGCTGTCGGCCTCCCCATCTCCTCCATCCGGACAGAAACGTGAGCTCAACCTCAAGGCTGTGAAGGCTCAGACTTTGCTGAAGCTGGTCGGTCTGATGTACTCTGGTGAGCTGGAGGTAAAAGGAAGCATAGAGCAGGAAGATGTGCTGGCTGCAGCCCACCAGTTTGGGATTACAGACCTTTTAGAAGGACAGAAAGATGGAAGGATGAAGGAGAAAGAGCTCCTGGAGAAGAAGCAGAGTCTTGTGAGCTGCAGAGGGAATTGCATTCACACAGAAGAAGGCAGATGTAGGCTTGGAAATGGGAAAATGCAGAATGCACAAGTTCAGACTGAGTTGTCTGGAAGGAGAGACAAAAGTTGTGTGTCTACAGGTACACAGACTGTTAAAACTGACAAAAAGTCATTGAGGACTTCTGTTACTCTCTCTGACCAAACTCACCCTCCAACACCAGACACTGAATCTTTGGTGGTTCAGAGTTTGAATTTTTCTCTTTCTTTGCAACCCGAAAGCATCACATTTGATAAACAGCCAAGCATTCCCAGCGATGGAGAGTCGACAAGCGGCCGATCATCTGAAACAAATCCTCCGTCAGCTTTGTCCATTGACACAGTGTCCTACAGTATTTCCCTTCATGATGACTCTAGATCCCAGGGAGCTCAGGAAGGCAGCGTCCACCAAGAATCTTCTGAAATTGGAGACAGCTCTCAGGTGTTGGACGAGGAAAGGACAGGACTGAAGCTTGGGAAAACAAATGGCGAGATGGCCCAAAGAGGCGGAAATGCAAATCAGGCGAGACAAGTCAACGGAGATGAGACGTCAGGAGAGAAAGAAGGAAACTCTGCAGAGAGGAGTCATGCACATGCCAGTGCAGGAGTGAAGAGCCTCACCAAGATGAAACAGATGCAGAAGATGATGGAGACCACACAGATTTCCATCAAGGTAAGAAGCACTAGATACTCTCACTCTCCTGTATTACAATGTGGCTGTATTATAGTGAGATTACAAATTCATTGTTCACCGTGTTAAGGACAAATTTCCACTGCCTTGTTATAAAGGCAATCTTTAGGATTGTTTTTGTATTTTATTGGACACAGTTGAAAGTAATTGTCCCAGGGTTAAGCGAGCAGCTAATTTGCATCTGTTGTCGCTGGGCACGAACACAAAAAAACTACAGAACAATAAGTACATAAAACAACACAAAACTTAGAAGTCCATCAGTGTGAGATAATAAATACAGTCAGTAAATATCATCAGTAAAAGGCTGACTTTAGCCAAACTGGTTTAAACACAGCAAACTTTCCTGAGTCTTAAATGTTTTTGGAGATAGAATTTCCCAAAGCTTTAAGTGAGGAAGCAGGCTGACCAAAAGCCTACCTGCAGTACCATTGCTGGGTGGGTTGAGCATCCTCTAAGAAGAGGTGGTGCCAGGTTGTTACATTTTTTAAACATCAGGCGTAGGCTAAAATATGATAAACTTTATAGTCCTGAAGAAAATAAGTCTTGGACACAAACAGTAACCGCTCGTTCATGCATCAGAGTTGAAGAGAAAATTGCCAAAATCAAGAAAATTGGATTTTTTAGCATGTTGCAGTGATGACGGTCTCTTGATTTTTTATCTGTTATTTTAGGGATTTGTTTATAGCCTGAGTACACAGACTTGAGTGTAGTCACACCTGCTTGTGACCAGCCTGCAATGCAGTAAGACAAATGGGGGGGAAAAGCACAGCGTGTACAAAGAGCTTTGCAGCAGACAGGGACAAGTGGTGCCTGGTACTTTTATTTATTCAAATTAAATTTAACAGCAAACTTTATTTTCTTTAACGTCAGAACACACATGTGTAAGAGGCCACATTGTCAATAAAAACCCTAACCTGGGTGCTTCACTAGAAACACATGACAATATAATTGATAAAGCTTTAAAAATGTAATATTGGCAACAACCCTAAATTAACCTTGAGTGGCTTATAGCAGCTGCTAGGCAACAAGTTTACAATCTTGTTTGAAAATGGCACATAAAAATAATCTAAAATGTTTATCACATAAGGTATGGTAGTTTTCTTATTTGGCCTAGTGACTGTAAATGTGAAAGCAATGCAGTTTATGTCTGCACCTGCTAGTGTGTCATCATGATAAGAACAGTTGTAAAGATACTGTATTTCCACTACAGGAGAGACTTGATGTCATGCAGTTAGTTGGAAATAAAACAGACGAAACAAGCTTGAAAATATCAGTATATCAGACCTCCAAACATCTAATATCTTGCATCCATCCTGTCCACACTTCCATTTTGGCCGAGAACTTAGTTGTATCGCTTTCTTTTCCTGTCATCAGTCTTCTGTCTGTGGCTTATAAAGGGTTAAAAGATCCCTAAGACTTTTAACACTTGCTTGTTCGCTCCAGCTTCTCTGAGTGACTTTTCTTTTTAATGTTCTGGATATTACCGTCAGAGCAACTGGTGCGTGACGTCGTCTACTTTTTCTAGAGTACGAGGCTGTTGATCAGTTCGTATTGTTTGGTTGTTGTCTGTTGCTGCTGGAGCTTATGATTCATTTTCCATCCAGCATATTTTTCAGGGCACTCGCTAACTGTTACCTAAACACTTGAGTCATGTCTTCGTTCCCCCTTCAAGCGTAGTCACGACTGTAAAAATATCTTGATTCTTAAGCGTTTGACAAACAGAAAAGAAACATCTAAATTTAAGCATTTAGTTTCGTGACAGAATCGTCCCATGTCTCAGCTATGAGTGTCTTTGCGCTGTCTTCAGACTGTCGTACTAAATGTGTAGGAAGCTTTTCCATCCTTTGTTTTGCCATCATCGCTGCGCTTTGCCTCCTCTGTGCAGGTGAAGC